CTTTCATCCTGCCTGTGTCGTAACGCGTGTAATTAGACTTGGACGGAACACGACAGTACAGTCCGCAAGCAGCCTGGAAACTCATCGAGCGAAAAGATGAATGAAGATAGAATGACGAATGAAGAGAGAATGACGAATGATAACGACCAGGTCATCAAGGTTCTCGACAATGACTGCTAGTGAACCGTCATTGAATGAGATTGAACCAATGTTCGCTATTCATGCGATACGCTTCTCAACTCCTCACTCATTTGTCATCTGAAAATGATTGCGTATTGCGAAGTATGCAAGAATCACTCACAGACAATGCCGTGACTTACGTGGACAATAACAAAATGGAGCAGGATCTATGGTCGCCGGGCATACGCAGGTGTGGGGGCATTTATCGCACGGGTTATGCATTAGAATTCTCGGCTGTAGAATCTGCTCCAGCCTCCTTTCAACATCATCCTTCACTGCATGGGAAAGCAATGTCAAAGCAGTGATGATCAACACGAGCTGGAAGACGCTTTTCATATGTAGCTGAAGAATAATATAGTGCTTGAGACTCGAACTGGTCTGCTTCAACTAAAGAAATGATAGGAGTGCACTATGCAACACTCAGTGTAGCGCTTTCTTGATCTAGTCAATCACCACTGGTGAACAAACCAACATTAGCATCGGGACTAATTGCTATCGAAGTTCAATACTAATACTATCCAAAGAAGAGATCTCAGAAGTCCTTTTCATTCCGGAGTCCATCTGCTCTACTAAGATCGATCAACTCGCCTACTTCACGTGAAACGCTACGAATGAACAAGATTCCGCACAACCAGCTCTGTATCCCCAATGGGGGCATTTGTAGAACTTGTGGTAGCTTGTAGATACTCAACTTCAAGAATATCGTTCTTGTGTTCCCGACTGAACGCAACCAACAATCCATGATTGTAATTAATGCGTAATTTTTGTAACTTTAAGGACGAGCAACTTCGATCGATTCGGGATGAGTGAGATCTGCTCAGGAGAAATCGTGCTAGAAGGTGTGCGACACAGCAGATTCTGCTGTATCGCACATCTTCTAGCACGTGTACAAACAAGCATTGCCACGATGTGGCAGCACATGCCCTCCTCTTTTAGATCCCTCCTCTTTTAGATTGCGGAGTAGCTACTAGCTTCTCAACAGGAATCTTGTCAACTTTCCACTACTTCGACCTTTTTGACGACGAAGATGCATTGGGCGATAGTGGGAGTAGTTTAACGTCGGTGGAATGGATAGTTGCAGTAGATGGGAGATAAAGACTAGTCGCAAATAGGGACAAAGCTAGGAGTCTCACCAGTATCACACAGAGCAACATATGAATACAACACTTAGCCATACTGGCACAACGGTAGCTATCCAGCACCTTTCCAGCTTGCCACCTTGAACTGGAGGGTGATATAGGACTCGCGGTGCAACAGAAAGCTTCGGGGCTGTGTACGGAACCAAACATTGTCGGACATACTCGTAATCGGTCCTGCATTCACGAGGCACATGCGTTCTAGGATCCGTCTGGAAGCGGAATATCATCCCATGTGGGCTACTCTCTTTTCTTCTCGTAGTGCTCCACAATCTCACCGCTTTGCGAGACAACTCGCAGAAACGCGTATACGTCATTTCCTCACCATTATTGTGGGTTCGCAAGTATTCGTTCACGAAATGATGGAGTCTTTCCATCTTTCCATTGCAGAACGAACTACCCCTTGGTGTGGTAAAGTGAACGGTGTCCCATGTCTCCAGCAGTGATGCTATGGAGCTCGACGTGTACTAACTTCCCATATCGGTGTGTACTACACACTGGGTAGTATTAACGGTGCTATGCGGAAATTTCCCGCCAATAATGAAAGCAAATCACTGGCATCTGAGGCGATAGGCGTATTCAGTGTTGTGCGAATTGCAACGAACCCCGAATAGCTGTCGATCGCCGATACAATATAGTACCGACTACTTCCATCTGTCACCCGAGAATACGGCTCAGTGGTATCGGAGTGGATTCGTCTGAATGGGTGCGCGGCCTTGGGAATGGAGGACAGAGCCTCTGTCACAGAGGCTCCAGAGACATCCCATCGCCTGGGAGCGA